GTGAGAACAGGAGGCCTGCAGTGCTCTCACTCCTAGGGCCTTGTCTTTTCTGTTCTTTTTTCATCACCTTTTCTCTTTCTTCCTTTTAGGATATGGCAGGGTTTTTTTTTGTTTGTTTGTTTTGGTTTTTTTTTTTGTTTTTTTGTTTTGTGGGTGTGTGTCTGTGTGTGTATTTGGTTGTTGTGTGGGGGTTTTTGTTTGTTTTGGTTTTTTTGTGTGTGTGTTTGTGTGTGTGTGTGTGTGTGTGTGTATTTGGTTGTTGTGTGGGGTATGTGTGTGTGTGTGTATGTGTGTGTGTGTGTGTTTTTATGTGTGTGTGTAGGAGGGTGGTTATGTGTTTTTTTTTAAAGGAGTCTCTGCTTTTAGACATAAACATCCGTGGTATCCCACAGCATGTAGGTCTGAAACTAAATATCCTTTCCCCTGTATGTATGTTAACAGAAGTTGCAAGTGTGGGGCTAAGTGAAGCCACCAGGAAGTGCACCATGGCCCTTTGCGCGGCACTGTACCACCTTAGGAGGAAAAAAAAAAAAGTGAAATGGCAGCAAGTTATCCTGCCTGGATCACCTGCAAGCCCCACAACCACCGGCATGGAACAGCCTATGGCACACTTGGATGCTGAAAAGGCATTGAAACTCTCAGATAAATTCTTACACTGTTTCCTCCCAATAGTTCTGAGAAATGTCTAAGGCCTCTGTGAGAAGTCCCAGGGGAAGGGAGCCATTTCTTCCTGCTCCCAGGGTTTCCCGCTCATGCCAGGGCCCGGGAAAGTTCCCCGGAGAGCCTGCCTCCAGAGCTGAGCACCACGGAGATGTGCCCTTTGGGCAGGAGCCCGTCTCCTCAAACACACCACCGCAAACCAATGCGTTTATGACTCCACTCTCGTTTATTACAACCTGCTACAAACCAAGCAGGTTGAATCTTTAAAACATCTCAGTTCTGGCCCACAGTACTGCAACAGTCTATCTATATCTAGTCTGCTTTGTTTTGTGTTTTGTTTTGTTGTTTTTGTAAACTCGTCCTCCATACATCCCTAACGTGGTATATTTAAAATATAAATCTCACGATGTAACTCTCTTGTTTAGATTACCTTCAGGATAAACTCCAAGCCACGCTGTTTCAAGCAAAAAGAGACTTGCATTTATATATAACTACAGTGAAAATGTCAAGTTTCAAAGATAAATTTTTAAAATTTCATAAAGTCTCCAAGCCAAAAGTCAACCAATGAAATGGACATAGAGTCTATATTAACATTTTTCTAAACATTATATAACAGAAAATGATAAAGTTGAAAAATGAGGAAGTTGGGTCCGGAAAAGCCTGAAAAAGGTGAGGATTAAAAACAGTTCACCAAGTGAGAATAACTTATCTTATAATCGTAATTATAAGTATAAAATAAAGACAGAATTTAAAAGACATACAATTATTTGTAGTTTTTTTAAAACCTCTTTATTTTGGTGTGCATTTCTTTCATTACTCTCCCTGTTCTCCCAATCCTGCTTCCTCTGATCACCTCTCAAATTACCTGCTTCTAGCCCTTGTCCTAATCACTAAATTTCAGGGAACACAAGCTATGAAAACAGGTCCCAGAGTAGCCCGAGAAAGTAGACTTAAAGTCTCCACCAGCCGATCAGGAGTGAGTATGCAAATTAACCCGACCAAGATAGCTGCTGCCACAGAGGGAGCAGGAGGCTTGGGTTTCCCTGGCAAAGCTTCCTGCACACCCTGGCTGTCCCTGGACTCCACTCAAGGCTACAAAGTTTCAATTATAGAAGATAAATCCCAGATACCAGGGCCTCCACTTGGGTCACCAGGGGGTGTGTGGCCAACCTGCAAACCACCACAGGCCAGATGCCCAGGCCACTTCACGCCCCAAGGGAACCCCCACCCTGATCCAGGACACCCTTCAGGGCAAACCAGTTGGCCTCCACCCATGCACCAGGCCTCTATCCTAATAAAAGAGTAATATGCAAATTGACCATTGCTCCAACACACAAGATGGCTGCCCCCATGTGGACACAAGATGGCCACCACAAGGTGGCCAGCAGGGGAGGGCAGTTGGAAGGGACCAGGTCTGCAAGGAAAGGCAGTTGTGGGCAATCAGGCCAGCAGGGGAGGGAAGTTGGGGGCAACTGGGCCTGCAGGGAAGGGCAGTAGAGGGGGGATCCAAGCCTGCAGGGGAGAGCAGTTGGGGGGGACCAGGCCTGCAGGGGAGGTCAGTTAGGGGTGACCAGGCCTGCAGAGGAGGTCAGTTAGGGGTGACCAGGCCTGCAGGGGAGGGCAGTTAGGGGCAATGAGGCTGACAGGGGAGCAGTTAGGCATCAATAAGGCTGGCAGGGAAATGGTTAGGGGGTAATCAGGTTGGCAGGCATAAGCAGTTAAAGGCAATCAGGAAGGCAGGCAGGCAAGCAGTTGAGAGCCAGCAGTCCTGGATTGTGAGAGGGGTCCCAGATTGAAGAGTGTGCAGGCTGAGCTGAGGGACACAACCTCCGTGCACAAATTCCGTGCACTGAGCCTCTAGTTTTATATAAGGAACTTTGAAACAAATTCTCCATGGATACTGGGGGATTACTATAGTTAAGTTTTGGGGTAATAACTTGAATTATGGACAAATTTCTAGAAAGATAGCAAAACTGACTCAAGAAGCAATAGAAAATTTGAACAGAACTATGATAAATAAAGATACTGAATTAGTAATTAAAAAAAAAAAAAAAAAACTACTCATAAAGAAAAGCCTAGTTCCAGGTAGCCTCACTTTTAAATTCTACCAAATATTTAAGGAAGAATTAATAATACCAATTCTTCACAAACTTTTCCCAAAAACAGAAGAGGAAGAAATACTTCTCAACTCATTTTATGAAGTCAGTTGTACTCTGACACCAAAACCAAACCAAACCATCAGAAGAAAACTACAGACCAAAAGCACATATAGAATTTACTGAGTGTGGCCCAAGTATACAGCTCTGTAATTTCATGGTTTTGAGGTAATTTCTATAAATAGTTTTCTATAACTGGGCTTTTGGTAAGAATTAGCACATTTCAAGGCTATAATCTCTGGCAAGAATCTGGAGAGTAAATATTCTGCACTACCAATAAAATGCATGTCCTCATTCTTTGCCAACTTCCAGGGCAAGGGATAGAAATGAGGTCTTCTTATGAAAATTAAATGTTATTTATTTATAGTTAAATGCATGATGAAAGTTAGGGGAACTGCCACTATCAAAACAAGAACTGAATAGCATTTTTTTTTTCTTGCTGCAAATAGAACAAAGAATGTAGGGCAAAGAAAATTGTTATTACTAGTAGGTATTTGAGATGTATCTATAATTTGATTTAAAATTTAATTTAAAAGAACAAGAAAGATATTTTGGGTTATAAGAAAGCACTGAATCAAACACAGAAGAGACAGGCTCCTTTACTCTAGACTTTCGAGATAAATCCCAAACACACTCTTGTTAGGGAAATAAACATAATCCCATGAATCCAAATCCTACCCCTTTTCAGGTCTAGGAAAAGGGAGTTAAATGCTGCCACTTTCAAGAAGAGTAGCTGTTCTCAGTGTTGTGTTCCTCTCCCACCATTTCCACTTTCTTCTTGGAGTTACGTTTGACTGACTCTCTTACTGAAATAATGGTCTCTTGAATCTCCAGATTCTTATTTAGGTTCGGATAGTGCTTTGCCCATAACCAGCACTTTCTCTAAAAACTGTTCTATGAACTAATGGAAGCAGCATGTATCTCATTACATTGTCAGGTTAGAGCCACATGGGTCTTTAAGGCACTCAAAGTAAAAAGTCTCTAGTTAAGGGGATTACCAGATACAATAAACTTTAAACATTTGCTTATGAGATGATTCAATTATACTAGCTGCTTTTCTTTCAATCAGATGTCCACCGTCAGAAAAATATTGGATAAAAATATTAACCTACTAGTTAACCTTCATATTACAAAATTATCCCTTTGAAGACACCCAGCCAGTTTCTGCTTCTGGAACCATTCTTGGATTGGTAAGGCAAAACTCCTTTATAATGGACTTTGAAACTCTACTTTCCAGAAAGGATGAGGTTAAAAAAAAAAAAAAAATTCCCTGAGCCAAAGCACGTAAAGTGAATTATATTATTGTAACCAGGATCCCCTGTCCTCCTTTTAGGAGGATTACACAATCTCTGCCCACGTCATATGATTTACAAGGCTTTCTTTCTTGTGAGAGGAGTATGCGTGTAGGCCCCATTGACAGCAGGCTTTGTCATGTGACTCGGTTTGGCCAAGAGAATGTGAGCTGTTCTGAGAGTGGAGTGACAGGGACGTGTGAGAGCTGACTGTTCCATCTCCAGAAACTTGGCAAGACACCTGTTTAACTGTCAGTTGCTTGACATCGGCCACAGTGGGAGTATTTACATCATGAGAACAGCGAAGACTACAAATCAGGACTCCTCCCCTCACATCTCAGTTGGTGCCAGCACAGTGAGCCGGTCCCCAAAGAGTTGATCTTTCAGCCTGGGATAAAGGAAACCGGTGGCCTACAGCCAACGCTGCCAGCAGCAGCAGCACAGGCAATTTGCTTGAAAACATGAATCTTCGTTGTAAATCGTAAATCACTAAATATAAAGAATCAAAAGCTGACTGATATACCCATGCACCCTGCCCATCTTCATCTGTCCAGGCCTTGGTTAGGAAGATTCCTTCTAACTCCTGGTGCCATCACACACCTAGAACCTGGAAGGATAAGAGCTGCATTCAGAGACCTGAGATAGGAATCCAGGTCTTGGAAGCTTAATGGAAAAAGGTATGGAACAAAAATTACATTTAACAAAACAAAACAAAACAAAACAAAACAAAAAAATCACTAAACTGCTGTTTCATTTCTGAACTTGGCAAACAGTGGTCTTTCCCTCGTGGATCTGGATCGTTTAGGGGGGACTCCTCCGTCCTTTCCACGACAGTTCCCACGTTCCCGCTCCCCCATTCACCCCCATTCACCCCCAGACGGAAGCGGAGCGCTGCGCCTTTAAGGGGCCCAGCGGAGGTTCCTGCGCGGGACGGCGTGGCCGCGAGGATCCTGGCGGGACCGGTCCGCACCCCCAGCCCGCACCCGCCACGCTCCGGGACACCGGTGTGAGTGTGGGCCTGGAGGCGGGTGTGGGAGCTCTGGGCCGGACTGGGGCTCGGGCAGGCCGGGGGAGGGGGCGTGCTGGAGGGGGGAGGAGGAGGGGAGGCTTGGGGACCCGTGGCCTGGGACCCCGGTGAGCGGAACCCAGATGCGCCCGGGGTGTCCCGGTCTCGGGCTTTGCATGCACGGGACGGCCGTGCCTGCCTTCGCTCTGGTCCGCTTGTCCTTAACATGCACGCGGCCCAGATTGTGCAGAAAAGCACCGTGCAGTTTCTTTCAGGACCTCTTTTTTCTCCCTCACTGCAGTACGACCTCAAAAAAGTTACTAGTGAATACTGATCCCCTGCTCCCCCTTTGTTAACATTGCCATACAGCGGTCAGACTTTTATAATAGCAACATGCAAAGCTCTCTCCGATTGAGATTTCCTTAATGTTTCCCTCTGTGGGGAGGAGAAACCCTTTAAGAACCCGCCTCCCCTCCTCTTCCCCCTTCATGGTGCTCAGACAAAAGAATGTTCTGACCCTTTGGGAGTATACAGGACCAACTTGCTGTAACTACTCACACTAACCAAATGCCTGAAACTTACCAAGCACGCTTTTTTTTTCCCATGAAAGAAAAAAATTAATTATCTGCTACCTTCTGAATTTCTAATTAGCCCAGACTACAAAGACTGGGTGTGTTAAAGAACTTTTGTAGAAACAGCTTAATAAATTGACATAATGAGGGTTATTTTCTGCACTTTTTTATTAATGGGTTATTTGTACACACCCGTTTTGTGCAAAAATAGCTGGAGGCAACCCACAATAAAAAGTATTTAACAATATGCAAAAGGGCCGAGAGCCCAAACCAGTTAATTCTCAATTTAAAAATCTTGGTGTCACAAAGGCCTTCAAAGTGCAGCTTAAAATCCTTCCAATTCATATTAAATTACGCATAATAAAATGGATCAACACCCTTCTTTTTAAGGAACATATATATTAAGTATAATTTAAGTAATGTAGGATTGAAATAAAGGTCCATTTTAGGACAGAAATTTATAATTTTCATTTTTTAAAATGCATTAATAGAGAAAGAACATTTCTGAGCCCTTTGCCTAATGGTAGAGCTATCCAAGAGTCTGGTTGATGGAATTTAGAGAACATCTCTGATTTACCAGATAAATAGCTGTGGGTCCAGTAATTTTTTTAATCCTTATCTGAGGATAAGTTTTTAAAATGATTTTTGGAGCAAGAGGAAGGGGGAGGGGGAGAGACATAGATGGGTTGCCTCCCCGCCACACACACACACACACAGGGATCGAACCTTTTATTATACAGGACGACCCTCCAACCAACTTAATAAATTTTCCACAGTCCATGTTTAATCTTTTTCTAAACATTTTCACACTTGTCCCTTAATTCCCTGACCCACAGTTTGGAGGCATTTTTACTTGCTTTTTAACTTCATTTAAGTCTTCAAACTGGTGATTCCACGCTAATTTTTCTAATGGTCTGGATCTCTTTATAAATAAACGAATACAAAAGATTAGGCTGCAAACTAATATTCAGCAGAGATAGACAAGGAACAGAAGGATGAACTTTGGTTTCCTTGATACTTCCCTTGTCAAGGCTAATTATTTGTTTTAATTATTATGTTCTGCTTTAAGTCACTAGTGGATGAAGTAGTAAATGAAAATGTTTTTAGACAAGTCTGTGTAGATTTCACAAGAGCGTGAATTTCTCAGCTAAGATCCAGACTCAATCTACACGTCATTGTTATAACTGTGGTGGATTAATCCAACCAAAGAGATTAGTTTGACTTGTGGAAGAACCTAGAGAGCTGCAGTCCATGAGTTACTGCCTTTTGAGAACATTGCCTGATCCTTTGTCCTTTAGCCTGCCTCCTATGTTGTATTTGTACAAGCATCTATAATAATCTATAATAATAAAAGCATAACATTCTAATTAGACCAGACGTCCTTCCTTCTGAACAAAGCCACCGAGGGCGGGGGCAGAGGCAGAGGCGGCCCCCGCAGCGGTGGGGGCCAGCGCCTTCGTACAAATTTAGTGCATTGGGCCTCTAGTTAGGTATAAAATAATAAACTTTCATGGGTGGTTTATAGGATGATTCTCAATGTTAGAGACATGTATAAGTACAATCATATTTACACAAATTACTCATCCAGGTTTTTATCTTTTCCCTTATTCTCTATATTAGCATTCAAGGAGATCATACTGAGGAATCTGGCTTTTAATCTGATAGGTTATTAGAAGAATAGAACTTCTTCAGAGAACTTCAATGCAGAGGTAATTAATGTAGATTTATTATCTTACACCTCATATTCCTTTCAAATAATGGATACTTAATGAAACTCACTCACAGGAGAGTTCGGAGTCATAGTACCAACAATACTACTTTCTCCCCTTCCATGGCATAACTAAAATTTACTTTCCCCCCCGCCGTGAAACCGGACTAAAAATTGTCTGCTGTTCATTTCATGCTAGGAGTGCTTCTGTTTTAATTTCAAGTAAATTTATTTTAAAATCTGAGGTTGGGAAGAACTGGAGCTTTATGAGTCAGCACAGTGGTCATGTATTTTTGTGGATTTTGTGGGGAAGGACGGGTGCCCAGCCAGCAGTGTCTGCATGACCATTTGTGTGAGGGCCCACAAGGCCCATCCCTTCCCTCGTGTGGACACAGTGGGATGGAATCCATCCCCCTGCCTGAACTTAACCACAGATGTCAGAACTACTGCCGGAAGCATTTCCCACCACCAAATGGCGAGCTTCCAGAGGGCAGGAACTATGTGGTTATCCTCTTGGCCAAGCAAGCACCTGACCCTGAGCAGGTGTACAGTGGGCATTTGAATGACAGAGTAAATGGATGTAAGCAAAATAATCACATTCCTTGGTACCTTTCTGGTGGTTTAAAAACTGTTGGAAGGAAAATTTCAGGGGCTTCTTATTTATTGTTTTCTTGTTAACGATCTGGTTCACAGATGTGCTTTTTTGTTGGGTACTTGATAAGGAAGAGATGCATATTACAGGCTCCAGCTAACCAGACCTCCCCACCGTCTTCTACCTGAGGGATGAATTTAGGAAGTGAGACTAAATTTGGCTGGGGAGGGGGCAGTGGATTTGTGATTCTTTTTTTATTTGCTTTTGTACTTAAGAATCCTCATGACAATTTTTCCAATGGAAACTACCTATTTACTACATTGAATAATAGGGTGTCAAAAAGAAACATACCACTGCCTTTTAGCCACTGAGAACTTAATATGGGCAGCAGGTTTGAACAGTAACTATTGGTGGATTCTTTTCCTCATGCCTTGTATTTATATAGCACTAGAGAGTCCAGCAACGAGTCATTTGTGTTGTCTGATTTCAGCCACCGGTTTAAGAGGCAGGTAATCTTACCATGTCCCTCTACGGATGGGGATAGGGACACTCGAATGAGCCGGGTCTAAGAAACCTAGAGTCAGGCTCATCGCCTCCCCTGGGTGCCTGCTCTGTGCAGGGAGCTAGGTGAGTGCGGTGGGCTGCTCCCCCGTGGCCTCCTCCACCTCCTGTGGATACAGAATCCCCTCCTGCTTGGGCACAGCACCACAAATCACCCCAACGGAACCCCCTCCAGGGCCAGGTGGCACTATGCCCATAGGCCTGTTCCCTCCAGCCTCAGTAACTAAGGCTGCCTAGCCCTGCCTAAGCTCACATGCATGAGGAATGTTTTATTTTTTTTATTCATGTATTGGTCTTGCTATATACATACACCACCTAAACGTATACATACGATCATATGAATGCTTAGTGCTTTGTTCTTTTCCTTTTGTGTTTACCTCTCCCCTTTCTCTCTCCTTTCACATCAGATGTCACCTCCTCAACCTATAATGTGTGTCCTTCCTTACTTTTCTTTAATAATAATGAGATCATACATACTTTTCTGGAACTTTATTTTCCTCAAAGAAACTGAACAGTTCCTCCAGAAATTCCTCTAGGTCAGTGGTTGGCAAACTCATTAGTCAACAGAGCAATACAACGATTGAAATTTCTTTTGAGAGCCAAATTTTTTAAACTTAAACTTTTTCTAATGCCATTTCTTCCAAATAGACTCGCCCAGGCCGTGGTATTTTGTGGAAGAGCCACATTCAAGGGGCCAAAGAGCCGCATGTGGCTCTCGAGTTGCAGTTTGCCGACCACGGCTCTAGGTCATCTGGCAGAGCTCCAATCTATCCTCTTTAATGAAGGCATAATACTCCATTGAAGTGACCATGCAATCTTTAACCTGGCCATTCTTCTGCAGATAGGTATTCCCTTGTCTCCAGCTTTTTGCTGTACTAAATAATACTATACTTAAAAAAAAAATAAAAAAATAAAAAAATCCCAATACACACAGCTTTACATACCAGTGCTTCTAGTTCTACAGAATAGATTCCCACTGGTGGGATCCTGATCACACCTGTTTTTAATTAGCAGAGATTACCAGATTGCTTTCCTAAAAGCCTTCACCTCTCCACTAGGACTGCAGGAGCACCCCTTCCTCTGCCTACCTCTTCCCTCTTGTTCCTGTGATTCTGTTACCTAGCGCTTCCCTGGGTGTAAGTGATGCCATGCACCTTTCACAAGGGTCCTGGCCATTTGATTTTGTCCTGGTCCTTTGCCTCCTCATCTTTCTTGCCCAAGTTTTATTGGGTGTTTGTCTCTTGCTTTTAAGTTTGTTTGAGTCCCATGTGGATTAGAGCGTGGCTGAAGAAGCTGGTTGATGGGAGGCTGCTCTCCCACTGCACTTACAGGGGTGGCTGCAATGAGCTCAGGGGTTGTTGAGTAGAGCTGGGCTGGCTGCTGTGACCTTCAGCCACAGGTTACTGGTCACTCTTTAGCTACAGTGTGTGAACAGGAGATTGTACTGAACCAAAATGTAGCTGTGTGCGGAGGACTGAGAAGGTGGGGCAGTTCTGTACCGTGCTGCCTTCCACTGGTTAAGACCTCCAAGAGCAAAGACCTGCCGAGGTAGACGGTGTCCCTCTGTCACCTGTAGAGGGGCAGCACTGAGCTGGCCAACATCTGTGGTACTGCTTGTCCTGGCTCAGGAGAGGCGTTCCACTGAGTCTAAAGGATTAAGACATCAAAAACAGTGCTTTTTACCCTTGTTTCCCTTTTTACCCTTAATTCTTTTCTTTTTTTTAATATATTTTTATTGACTTCAGAGAGAAGGGAGAGGGAGAGAGAGAAACATCAAAGCATCAAAGACCAGAGAGAATCATTGATTGGCTGCCTCTGGCACGCCCCTTACTGGGGATGGAGCCTGCAACCAGGGCATGTGCCCTGACCGGGGATCAAACTCACAACCTAGGTATGTGTCCTGACTGGGGACTGAACCCAGAACCTTTTGGTGTACAAGACTATGCTCCAACCAACCGAGTCACCAGCCAGGGCTCCACCTCAACTCCTGTAACAGATGGCATTCTTGTCACTGGCACTCCTCTAGGCATCCCAGGTTTTGAAGAAACCCAGAGACATGTTGCAAGGAGGTAAAGTATGACAGTAATTGGTCACCTCGGGCACTGTTAGGTGTACATCAGGAATGATTACTCTCAGACTTGGGCACAAGTAAGAGAGTCTAGGTTACGTGCAATTTTCAACCCCCAGCTCAAGAAAGCATATTAGAATACAAAGTGATAGTCTTGATATTATAGAAAAATCTTTAAATCTTTTTTCATATGTAAAATAAAATAGGGGTCCATTTTACCATTAAGTCCAGTAATTTTTATAAAGGAGCTGTGGGAAAGATAAGATTCAAATGTAGGAGGAAACAGAATTGTAAAAAAAAAAAAAGATAAAAGGTGTACAAAAATTTTAAGGCAAAGATGGATAACAAAAAACATTTCTAAGACTAAAATCTGGTTCTTTTCACTAACCATAATGTTTACTAACCATAAAAAAAAATTATCCTGAAGGTGGTCTGTGACTCTCCTCCTCATCCCCCAACTTCCACTTTGGGGATTTTAGTAATTTAATAAATCTCTTGGGAGAAATCTAGCCTTTAATTTCTAAAAAGCTTTTATACTAATTGGTCATCATGAGTTACCATATTCAAATCAATTTCTAATGTATTAGGAAATATGTAACTGGCAATTTCTTTTGTTAGAAGAGGCCTGATACTTATCTATTTTTTTATTTTTATTTTTTGCTAATTCTTGTAAATTCATTATCTTTTTTCAAAATCTGAGAGATATATTAAACATCATGCCTGATCCTAAGTGGACTTGCTTGATGGGAAAAGGAATAATGAGGTTTTAGAAAGTGGTAATTCATCTGTAGCAAGACTATTAGCAATGGAATTAAAATTTGAAAGTAAATTATATTAATATAGCAACTATTTTTCCTATTCTCATTTTTGTCTTCAGTTGCATTTAATGAGAGAGATTCTGACACTATCCCCTCACTGCTGCTGGTTCAAAACCTGACAGTATGAGCTGGCGTTAGCTGTGTCACTGTGCACCATTCTCCCACCTTGGCCTTAATTTCCCCCTGAAATAAGTCCTCAGATGAGTTCCAAGGGTCGGTCGTGTGTTCTCTTATTTTCTTTACACTTTCAAAGCAAGTCAGTCCAGAATCACACACTTGGCCCTTTGTGAGGTTATTTCCTAAAGAATAAACTTCACCTTTTCGATCCTCCCTTCTGTGCTGGGTTATTGCAGTGGTAAACGGTTTTCCTAATAGAAAGGAGACTTTGCAATGATAGTTACTGTGTTGTGTTTGGATCCCTTTAACAAATGTTTTGTTAGACAAAGTAAGAGGCTATTATTTTTCTTCCTTAATTAAAAGTATTGACCGAGCTATGTGTCTTGCAACTTTATACAGAGGAGGCCATTTAGTTGGAATGAACAACCTAGAAAATTAATTTTATTTTATGGCTCAAGCACCTGTTAGAGCAGTGGTTCTTAACCTTTCTAATGCCGCAACCCTTTAATACAGTTAGTTCCTCATGTTGTGGTGACCCCCCCAACCGTAAAATTATTTTTGTTGCTACTTCATAACTGTAATTTTGCTGCTGTTAATGAATCGTAATGTAAATATCTGTGTTTTCCGATGGTCTTAGGCTCTACAGCAGCAGTTCTCAACCTGTGGGTTGCAACAGATATTTACATTACGATTAATGTGATGTCCAGGTTTCCCAACACCATATGCAAGAATAAAATAAAAGTCGATTAAAGACTGCCCTAGCAGGTTTGCCTCAGCTAGAGCGTTGGTCTGTGGACTGAAAGGTTCGATTCTGGTCAAGAGCACATGCCCAAGTTGCAGGCCAATCCCCAGGAGGCAGACAATCCATGATTCTCATCATTGATGTTTCTATCTCTCCCTCTCCCTCTCTGAAATCAATTAAAAATTTTTAAATGGATTAAAAACTTCAATGTAAGACCTGAAACCATAAAACTCGTAGAAGAAAACATAGGCAGTAAACTTTGACATCGCCCTAGCAATATTTTTTATATGTCTTTTTTTGTGCAAGGGAAACAAAAGAAAGACAAATGGGACTACATCAAATTAAAAAGCTGCACAGTGATGGAAATCATCAACAAAACAAAAAGATACCCTACTGAATAGGATAAGATAATCACCAATGATACATCCAATAAGGGGTTAAATCCCAAAAAGTATAAGGAATCTATACAAAGTAACAAATAACACACACACAGAAAAATCAACAATCCAATTGAAAAAAAATAATGAGATCATACATACTGTTGAGGGTAGAGGACCTCAACAGACATTTCTCCACAGGGGACATACAGATGACCAATACACATGAAAAGATGCTCAACATCATTAATCATCAGATAAATGCAAATTAAAACCACAATTTATAGCTACAGTTATATACTCATTGTAGCCTGAGATATAGCTTCACACTCGTCACAATGGGTTACATCATAAACAAACAAGTATTATCAGGGATGTAGAGCAGAAGGAACCTTTGTCGGATTGTAAATTGGTACAGCCACTATGAAAAACCGTATGGAAAACTCCTAAAAAAATTAAAAATAGAACTACCGTATTACCCAGCAAGTCCACTTATGGGTATTTATCCAAAGAAATCTAAAACACTAATTTTAAAAGATATACACATCCCTATGTTCACTGCAGCATTGTTTACAATAGCAAAGATATGGAAGTAACCTAAGTGTCTGTCCATGGACAAATGGATAATGAAGAGGTGGTATATATATATGTATAGTAGAATATTACTCAGCCAGGAAAAATAGTGAAATTTTGCCATTTGTGACAACATGGATGGACCTGAGGGGTATTATGTGAAGTGAAATGACAGAGAAAGACATACCATACGATTTCACTTATATGTGGAATCTAAAGAACACAATAAATGAACAAACGAAATAGAAACAGACTTGTAGATACATGACATTTTGATGACTAGCAGATGGGAGGGGGGTCAGGGGGGTGAAAAGGGAAGGTTTAAGATGTGCAAATTGCCTGTTATAAAACCAATCACAGGTACCAGTAATATTGTAGTAATTATGTATGTTGTCAGGTGGGTACTAGACTTATCAGGGTGCTCACTTCCAAAGCTACATAAATGTCTAGTCACTATGTGGAACACCTAAAACTAGTACAATATTGTATGTCATCTTTAATAGAAAAAATAATACATATATTGATACATTTACACATACATACATACACACACACAGTCTGTACATAGCTAGTTATTTTCATTTAAGAAGCTTGGCTTCTCATTTTTAGTATAAGTACTTGTTAGCTGGGCTCCCATTTGCTTTCTAAGAGAATTCTCAGTTAATAAAAGAGGCCTGGGCATTCCTAACACACATTCTCCTGCGCCCTATTCAGAACAATAATACTGAAAAAGAATCCCAGGTAGCCAAAACTGGTTTGGCTTACTGGACAGAGCGGACTGGAAGGTCCGGGGTTCGATTCCAGTCAAGGGCATGTGCCTTGGCTGCAGGCACGTCCCCAGTAGGGGGTGTGCAGAAGGCAGCTGATCGATGTTTTAACTCTATCCCTCTCTTCTTCTCTGTAAAAAAACCAATAAAATATATATATTTAAAAAGAATCCCAGGTAGCCAAAACTGGTTTGGCTCACTGGACAGAGCGGACTGGAAGGTCCGGGGTTCGATTCCAGTCAAGGGCATGTGCCTTGGCTGCAGGCACGTCCCCAGTAGGGGGTGTGCAGAAGGCAGCTGATCGATGTTTTAACTCTATCCCTCTCTTCCTCTCTGTAAAAAAACCAATAAAATATATATATTTAAAAAGAATCTCAGGTATCTACCCCAAACTAACCATGGGATTTTTATCTGTAATAAAAGGAAGACATGGTGGGGGGATAAAGACAATTATGTGAGACCATAATCAATAAAATAAATAATTTTTTTTAAAAAGAAAACTTCTGGGAGAATATAATGTAGGTGAAAACATTATTAGGGCTTATCTTAGGATGCTATGTTTAGGTATTATTATCTCCTTTTCTATGTTTTGTATTTTTACCTATAATAAACACTTATTGCTCTTATAAGTAAAAAAAAAAAAAAAAAAGGAAGACATGGTTTCTTCCCAGGCTATCTATAACCATAAATGTGGTTTGAGTGTGTGCACACCTATGAACATACATGTTTGCCTTGTTCTTACCTCTTTTCCTCTCGGTACGCAGCCGCTCTGGAGAGGATGAAGAGCGAGGAGCTGGCGGTGGCCATGGAAGAGACCTGCGGGGAGGAGGACGCGGCGGGGGCGCCCGGTGACGCTTTCCCCGGCCTGGCGCCGGCGCCTCCCGGCCGCCTGGGGGCGCCATACTCCGAGGCCTGGGGGTACTTCCACCTGGCCCCCGCGCGCCCGGGGCAGCCGTCGGGCTACTGGGCCACCTGCCGGCTGTGCGGGGAGCAGGTGAGCCGCAGCCCGGGCTCCCGCGCGGGCACCCCGGCGCTGTGGAGGCACCTGAAGAGCGCGCACCGGCGGGAGCTGGAGGAGGGCGCCGCCCGCCGCTCCCCGCCCCCGGGCCCCGGCCCCGGCCCCGCCGCGGCCGCCGAGGGCGACTGGGCGCGCCTGCTGGAGCAGATGGGCGCGCTGGCCGTGCGGGGCAGCCTGCGGGAGCGCGAGCTGGCGCGGCGCGAGGCGGCCGTGGAGCGGGGCGAGCGCGTGCTGGAGCGGCGGCGCCGGGCGCTGCGGGAGGAGGAGCGCGCGGCCGCCCAGGCGCGGCGGGAGCTGCAGGCCGAGCGGGAGGCGCTGCAGGCGCGGCTGCGGGAGGTGAGCCGGCGCGAAGGCGCCCTGGCCGCGGCCCCGCTGCACACTCCGCTCAAGGAGGAGCCCGAGGGGCAGCGGGACGGCTCCACCGTCACCAAAGTCCACCTGTAGGTTCCGGCCGCTCCCCGTGTGGCCGGCGGACCAGCGTCCTCAGCCTCACCTGGGAGCTCCTTCTCAGAACTGGAATCTCCAGTGGAGGGCTTGGAAAGCGCTTCGGAAGCCTGTGCGGAACCAAAAGTCAGTTCGACCCCGCAGCCACCTAGGGAGCCTGGGAGAGCAAGCTCCAGCAGCCCCCCTTGCTGTTGGCGTTTAGTTGGCGCCCGTGCTGGGAGCAAGTTTTCCTCTAAATTAAGCTGACCAAAGGTCCCGATTTTTAATTGGGACTTTTTTAAAAACGCCGCGGGACACATTGTTAAAAAATCGGGACCTCTGGTCACCTTGCTCTAAATGCCTTTGGAAATGAGAGCTCCAGCAGCCCCTGGAATCTAAGGTCATCTGAGACCTTGTACCTGGTGACTCTGAAAGGACAAAAGCTTCTCACCCGCCATGTGCCTGTTACACCCCCAGGACAATCCATGAAAAGGATAAAGCAAAATAAAAAATAATTTTTCTACTCATTTCCAAATGAGTCTATCTTTGATGAGCAGCCTTTGCCCAAGACCAAGTTCTGAAAAGGGGGGTCACTTCGTTTCCACGACTTATGCTTATCTCACGCCTCGCCTCAGCAGTACAATCCCAAGAACCCCCGTTTCCTCTCCTCCCCAGTTTGCACACCGCGTGCAGCTTCGTCTGTTTCACCTCAGCCAGCTTCTTTCCCATTTTGGACCCAGGGGCAGCTGTAGTCAATGTTCCCACTTCCTGCCTCCTGACTAGCAAAACATGACTGCATCCTTCATTGCTATGAAGGCGCTTCCTTCCCCATCTGTTTCCACAGTACTTGCATGTGTGGAAAGAAGCCTCCTACCTGAGGCAACCTCCTCTCTGTTTACATCTATTCCTTTTTCCACTTTCACCGGCTCTTAGCTCCATTAGTGTTCTTTCCCTCTTAGTCCCTCCCTTCTCCCCCCCCCCCCCCCCCCCCCCCCCCTTCCTCAGAAATGCCCAGTTTCCCTTGTACTGAAAGAAAGACTTCCCCCAGGGTGGATGCTCTCAACTGAATCACCATCCAAGAGAGTCAGGTAGTCCTTGCTGCCCATACTTCCTCCCCATGGTCAGCTTTCCATGCCACACTGGACTCTTAAGCCACCACAATCTCAGTGGCTGAGTGTGCTTATTTATTCAACCTTCATTTTGCTTAATCTCTCCTTTGTTATGTGGGCCTTGCTTTTCCTCCAGAGAACTGCTTTTCCTGGTATAGACTAGTTCCCAAACCATTTTTTAGTTTTATTCTCATTTTTTTATATATACTGAAAATTTTCAAACATCCAGAAAAAGTTGAAAGACTAGTACAATGAATACCCATATATACCCTCCACCTAGACTGAATAATTGTTAACATTTTTGTCATACTTTTTCTTTCCTCCACCCCATACATATGTGATATTTTATCCTTAAGTATTTCAGTATATATCTCCTAAGAATAAAGACATTGTTCTACATGATTACAGTGCAATTATACCTAAGAATATAAATAATTTCCTAATAGCCTTTAATATAAAGTCCTTAATCAAAAATTCCCCAATTGTCCCAAGAATGTCTTTTTATCCTTTAAAAAACAGGGATCAAAATTAATATATTATTTTGATTATAACCTATATCTTTTATTTTTTATTTTTTATATTTTTATTAAGAATCCCAGCCATCTGTCTTAAAGAAAGTCCTATATCTGGTTTTGTTTGTTTCCTTAAGCCAGTGGTTGGCAAACCACGGCTTGCGAGCCACATGCAGCTCTTTGACCCCTTGAGTGTGGCTCTGCCACAAAATACCACATGTGGGCGCGCATGTACAGTGCGACTGAAACTTCGTGGCCCACTGCAGAAGTGGGCTTTCGGCCTGGGCGGGTCTATTTTGAAGAAGTGGTTCTAACGCCGAGCCACACTCAAGGGGCCGAAGAGCAGCATGTGGTTCACGTTACCAACCACTGCCTTAAGCCAATTTCTACACTCATTCTTAGTTTATCTACCTATAAGCTGCAACGATCACTTTGGTGCCAATGACGCCCAAATACTGCCAACCTTGAGTGTTCTGCCCCCACCTGTCCTTTATAGCCAATCAATCCCCTTTTGCCTGTTTCCATCTGTACTTGCATAACTGCCACTGCAGATGGAAAAGGCAAATCTCATCTCCGCATCCTCACCCTCATCTTTATTGTACTCTTAAAATGTATCAGGTACATGCACACTTTACATGGGTCCTCTCACTTTATTTTCATAGACGCTCCATGGGGAGGTACTAATATGCCTGCTTCACAGCTAAGGAAGCGGACATAGACAGGAGTTAAGTAGCTTGTACAAGAAGCCTGCTGTTAAGTATTATAGTAGAACCGAGATACAAATCCAGTCTTAGCCTCCAGGTGCCAGGCTCCTAGCTGCTGTATTGCCTCCCTTATTACTGTCACCTGGCTGACACTTGTTTGCTTCCTAACTCCAATTTCATGTAGAACCATCTGTGACATTAACATGCACTAAGCATAAACCATGTACCAGGTCCATGCTAAATACTTTACAAGAATAACTGCCTGCCCTGCAGCAACCCCATGACACAAGTGCGGTTATTCCCACTTTGCAGGAGATAGGCTCAGGGGAGCTAAATAATGCCTGCAGAGTCATACAACTACTAGGAGACAGAGTGGGACTTGAAATCTAGTCTCACTAAATCCGAGACCCTGATCTACTGAATCTATTTTTACAAAACATCACACCTGTTTTCTTTAAGATGCCACTTGTGAAGCTCTGGCCATTTTTTCACTCATCTGGGGTTCATCTTCCCTCCCTTCTCTTCCCCCACTGTCCCCTACCTGATACGCGGCCAGAAAATTTGTACTAAGCCAACACTGATATCACTTTTCTTGTTCAAAAGCCCCCCCAAATCACTTATCATCTACCAGCTTTAACTCTGTGTCCTGACATCCAAATCCACACGCCCTGGCCAGTCTTAGTTGTCCCCTCACCTACACATATTCCAGCCAAATCGGACTCCTTGTTCTTCTTGGTGCCTCTATACCTCTATTCACCTTCCCTCCACTTAAAAGTCCCTTTAACCTCTGAGTGTGAAAAATCCAAGTTCAAATTTGCCTGCCTGCATGAAGCTTTCCTTGGCTCCTCTTTTAGAGATGATGCCTTACCTCTCTGAACTCTCATAGCATTTTCTATCTCACAACTCTTAGAACAATCTAGCTCATGGCAATGTGGGTTCTTTTAAAGAATATATATTTTATTGATTTTTTTACAGAGAGGAAGAGAGAGGGATAGAGAATTAGAAACATCGATCAGCTCCCTTCTGCAATAAACCAATAATAATAAACACACCTCCTACTGGGGATGTACCAACAACCAAGGTACATACCTAGGTTCCAGGGTTGATCCCCATCCCCAGTCAGGGGTGCATGTGGGAAGCAACCAATCAATGTGTCTCTCTCACATAGATATTTCCCTCTCCCCCTTCCTCCACTCTCTAAAAATCAATGTAAAAAAATATCCTCACTTCTCAGGTGAGGATTTAAAAAAATGTCCATGAGCATATTTGGTCCATATCAAATGGTCCCTGTTTCAGGCCAAAAACATACATGTTTAGAAAATGTCCCTGAGTTCAAACAGCCCATACTGTTTGTTTATACTTTTGGTTTATTTAAATGGTTAAAACATAATAAATACTACGTTTCATTGGCCCAATCATTGTGTAGAGGCTGTACTGCCAATGACCCTTATTTCTTTAGTAGCCTACCTGGTCATATATAGCTCCTGGGGGGTAGATAGGTCAGTGTGAACCAAACGTCTCCATGGATGCCTGGTACAGGACCAAGTATCAAGGATCTTTCGGCAGGGACCAAATGTTTCTATGGATATTTGGATGGAACCAAATGTCCTGCTAGGATGTGGATGGGAGTTCAAAACTAATCCAAAAGACCTCAGAAAGAGCAGGTTCGCTGGGATGATTCCTGAGAGCAGATGCACACAAGTCACAAAGGTTTGCCAAGTCATTTTCCTTCAGGATAGAACGATTTTCCTATAAAAACATAAATTTCATACCTAATTTGCCAAATGAGCTAATCTAGTCAAAACTCAATATTATAAAGTAATCTGACCAATTTTTACATGTAAATCTATCAAAGCCTGCCCATCCAAGTAACTTCCCTTCAAAGTAGTCACTTGGAAGAGTTATTCCAAAAATGTACCCATGCTTAAAACACTCCTGAAACTCTTCTCTTACAGCAGGTCTTGCAGTTGCTGGCACACTCTTTAAAACATCCTTAAATTGGCAAATATTCATCTTTCCAGGAAAAATTTGATTTTTTAAAAGAGCTGACAGTTATTCGGAGCCCAGTGTGGTGAATGTGGTAGATGATTAACTAAATTAACTTTTCTGGATAGTACAGCGTGATTATAATAAACCAATAATAATGATTTTTGTGTGGCTCATAAATTGGCCTTGGTAGTGTTATATAATATATTAAGGTTAAGTAAAAGGAGCATGGTCATAGTGGAGATTAAAGCCCATTTTAGTGGGTTTATGATGTGAATGAATTCAGATAGCACTGGGAGTCATTACATATTTAAATAGCACTGAATGTTTCTTTTTATGAAAATCTTAATTATGATAATCTCTGAAATCTGATTTCACAGCACTAAAATGAGGGCTTTAAGGAAAAGCATTAAATGCTAATGAGAGCTTTATTATTTCAGTATATATTCTCTCGGGCCTTTGGTCAAGATAAGTAATGATCAGATGAATGAGCTGGCAACCTTCCTGGCCTCTGAAGTCTACTAGTAATGGGAAGCTAAGTAACACACTGTCACGTGTTAAAACAGATTTAATAATATTCCACCAACTTCTGTCTTCTGCTTTTTGGGCAATGAAATACGATGGCATTTTAACATAGAAGAACAAAGCTAGCCTTTTGCTGGAAGAATTTCTGGAAAGTCATTCTTAGTCAGCAGGCAGAAGACAGTTCGCCTCCATTCACATTAACTCTTCCAAGCGTATCTGCTCCTCATCCTCTAGAGCACATGTGTCAAACACAAGGCCCGCGGGCCAAATCCGTCCCGCCAGGCCTTGCAATGTGGCCCGCACCGCGCTGTCATCACTGCACTCCGCTGTGTTTCCATCACAATGACAGTTTATGACTGTTCAGTAAACCATTCGGCCCGCGATTTAGGCTGGATTTTAGATTTTGGCCCCTTCTCTGATTG